CTAAAGCCTAAGCGTTAAACTTTAAGTCCCAAACCGTAAACGCTAAACTCTAGCCCCAAACGCAAAACCCTAAACCCTAAACCGCAAAACCTAAACCCTAAACCGCAAACCCTAAACCCTAAACCCTAGCAGCTAAACCCTAAACCCTAAAATGATGAAACTTGGAATGATAAAAACAAAAGTAATAAAATCAGGACGTCAAGAAAAAGAATAAAAAAACTTTTAAAGAATTAAATTGCAAACTTCTTCAAATGATTTTGAAATTAAAATCCAAAAATAAAGAAAAATGCTTTTTATGAATCTTCAGAAATGAAGCAGCTTCTGGCCGGCGGGGCTTTCCAGAGGCCTAGGGTTTAGGGTTTAGGGTTTAGGGTTTGGGATTTAGGGTTTAGGGTTTGGGCGGATGGAATTTGAGGTTTAGGGTTTGGAGTTCGGAATTAACTGGGTTTGTGGCTTTAATGTTTAGGGTTTAGGGTTTAGGGTTTAGGGTTTAGGGCGGAGCTGCTTGATCAGAGTTTGCCTTCGGGGAAAGCAGCAAAAGTAAAGCCTAAACCCTCCTAAACGCTAAACCCTACTCCTTTAAGTATCAAGAGGCACTCACCAAAATAAACCCTAAACCCTAAACCCTAAACCCTAAACCCTAGTCAACTGTGGGAGGAACTTCCTTGGAATCCTGTCCAGCTCAGGGTCCCGCCCGAGGCTTTAGCGCTGATCTCCTAGGGTTTAAGGTTTAGCGTTAAGGGTTTAGGGTTTAGGGTTTAGGGTTTAGGGTTTAGGGTTCAGGGTTTAGGGTTTAAGGTACTGCACAGAAGCCGTGAGAAGTCTGGCAAACAAGAGGAGTGAGAGGAAAAGACTTGCAAGTGTATGAAAAATAAAAAAAAGCAAAAAGAAATTAAATAATAAATAATAAATAATAAATAATAAAATAAATAAAATAAATAAATAAATAAATGAATAAATAAACGAATAGCGCAATCGGGAAGCAGCAGGGAGCGCTTGGCACGGAAACCCTTGCGAGAAGTGAAACTTGGATTAAATGAAGAACTAAATGCATAAATAAATAATAAATAAATAAATAAATAAATTATAAACAAATTAATTAAAATAAATAAACAAATGAAACAGAAATGGCAAACGAAATGAAGAAGAAAAGAAGCAAAGGCAGCCGATGCTGCAGAGGCTCGAGGTGACCTCGTTGGTTTGCTGCTGCAGCAGCAGCAGCAGATCTTTTGCCCCTCAACAAACCCAAAAAAAGAATTTAATTATTTAAAATAAATAAAATTAAATATTTCAAAACAAAAATTAATCATTTAGATCCCATTTAAGCCCGCCTTTATCTCTTTTCCTCTCAGAGCCCCAGCCGCTTCGGCGGTGCTGCTGCTGCTGCTGCTGCTGCTGCTGCTGCTGCTGCTGCTGCTTCTTTTTTCGGGCTTTTCGCCGTACATAATTGAGATTATTTTAATTAAAATTTTTAATTAATTAATAATAGACTTCCGTAAACATAATCTCCTTACTTGGGGGGCCCCCGACGCAGCAGCGCCTCGCGGGGGGCCCCAGAGTCACCTGTACCCTGTTAGGGGCCCCCGGGGGCCCTGCTGCATTCAGTACCCTTTCTGGGGGCCCCCCAAGCCCCCAAAAGACATTAACAACTAGCCAAGGGGCCCCGAGGGGCCCCCAAGAGGGCACAGGCCCCCCAGCAGCCCAAGGGGCCCCTGCCACTGCGACTCAGCAGGCAACAGCAGCAGCAGCAGCAGCAGCAGCAGCAGCAGCAGCAGCAGCAGCAAATGGAGGGCGAAGGGTCTGGATTTCGGGGGCGGTCGCTGGCCCCCGGCAGCAGCTTTTCGAGCCAGCGGCAGTCCACCACAGCAGCAGCAAATCGGAATGCGAAGCACGTCTGCAGCAGCAGCATCTGCTGCAGCAGCAGCAGCAGCAGCAGCAGCAAACAGAAAGCTGCCAGGGCCCGCCTGCCCAAGTGCATTTACCAGGCGGAGCACTTCGACTCCTTCGGTGGGGCCCCCAGCTTCCATTTCTTTTATTTTTTGCGAATTTCCATTTTAATTAATTTAAATTTTCCATTTTAATTCCATTTTATTTCAATTAAATCATTATCTGGCTCTTTTCTTCTTCTCCAGCTGTTTTGGGGGCCCCCAGGGGCCCCTGGGGGCCCCCAAAAGGCCTCCAGGGGCCCCTAAGCTGGTCTTGCGGGCCCCGGCCCCCCGGGGGCCCCCCGGGGGCCCCCCAGGGGCCCTTCGGGGGCCCCAATGGCCCCTGGGGGCTCCCGGGGGGCCCCCAAATCAACTTTGGGGGCCCCAAGGCCATTTGAGGGGCCCCTAGGGCCACTCTGGGGCCCCCCAGGCCGCCTTAGGGGCCCCCAAAACACTCCCTGGGGGCCCCTGGGGGCCCCTGGGGGCCCCTGGGGGCCCCTGGGGGCCCCTGGGGGCCCCTGGAGGTCCCTGGAGGTCCCTGGGGGCCCCTGGGGGCCCCTGGGGGCCCCTGGGGGCCCCTGGGGGCCCCTGGGGGCCCCTGGAGGAATTAAACAGCAAAGAGTGCCCAATAAAAAGCACGAAGACTTGGATAGAAAGGAAAGAAAGTAGTTTTATTTGTTTGATTTGTTTTATTTGTTTATTTGATTTATTTGATTTATTTGTTTTATTTGCTGCTGCTGCTGCTGCAGAAATGCCCACTGCTCTGAAGGCTGCTGCCTTTTCTGCCGAAAGTGCTTCTCTTGCTGCTGCACTTAAAGAGGGGGGTCTTATTTTGTTTGACTTGTGTTCGCCCAGCACTGCTGTTGCTGCTGCGCCGCAGCACATCGGTGCGTTTTGCTGCTGCAGCAGCAGCAGCAGCAGCAGCAGCAGCAGCAGCAGCAGCGGCGGCAGTGGCAGGGGGAGGGGAGGCAGCAGCGAACCCGCGCGATGCAGCAGCGCTAGCTAGAGATTCAGCACATGCAGCAGCAGCAACAGATCTAGTAGCTGTAGCAGCAGCAGCAGCAGCAACAGCGACAGCAGCAGCAGCAGCAGCAGCAGCAGGCTGTTGTGTTTGTGTGTCAGGCCGCATTGGACTTGTCTGTTTCGGGCCCCCAAACTCTTTCGGCGATCCCACCATCTACGGGACTTGCGAGGTTTGCTGCTGCTGCTGCTGCTGCTGCTGCTGCTGCTGCTGCTGCTGCTGCTGCTGCTTGCTTCTGCTTGCTTCTGCTTTCGTTCTTGCCAGTTGATTAATGAAGCGCTCATGACTCATTAGACTAAATCTTAATAGTGTAATAATAAACTAATTAATTAATTAATTAATTAAAAATAAATAATTAATCATTTAAAAATACTATTTATTTATTTATTTATTTATTTATTTATTTATTTATTTATTTATTTATTTATTTATATTTTTTTTTAGGATGGCACAATTCGCCGTTGGGTTCTTCACGGCTACACCGACCTCATGGAAATTGAGGCTTGTAAGAAAATAAATAAATAAATAAATAAATAAATAAATAAATAAATAGATAAATAAATAAATAAATAAATAAATAAATAAATAAATAAACTAATATTGATTAAATAACATGAAGGGTTTAGCTGGTCACTAGCTAGTCAAAGATTCATAAAACCCGCTCTGCATGCTGCTGCTGCTGCTGCTGCTGCTGCTGCTGCTGCTGTTGCTGCTGCTGCTGCTGTTGCTGCTGCTGCTGCTGCAGTTTCCTTTAGAGAGGAGGCTGTGGCTCTCTTCATAAGTCACTCTGGCCGCTCTTTTGTTGCTGTTGGTGAGTGGCCCTTCAGGTGTATAGGCAGCTTTGGGGTGTATAGGCAGCTTTGGGGTGTATAGGCAGCTTTGGGGTGTATAGGCAGCTTTGGGCTGTATAGGCAGCTTTGGGCTGTATAGGCAGCTTTGGGGTGTATAGGCAGCTTTCAGCTGAAGTAGTTGCTGCTGCGAAAGCAGCAGCTGCTGCGACACTTGCTGCTGCAGCAGCTGCTGCGGCACTTGCTGCTGCAGCAGCTGCTGCGGCAACTGCTGCTGCAGCAGCTGCTGCTGCTGCTCCGCCGCAAAGACAGACAACTCGGACTGCTGAGCTGCAGCAGCAGCACAGCGAGCGCGCCTGCCGCCGCCGCCGCGCCGCTGCTGCTGCTGCTGCTGCTGCTGCTGCTGCTGCTGCTGCTGCTGCTGCTGCATCGCTTGTGTCTTTTTGTTTTTTGTTTTCTTTTGAATTAGGAAAGGCGGGCCTCGTGCTGGTGGCCAGTACCCTTTATTCAGACTGTGTAAGATATACCCGTTTGCAGTGGCCCCGGGGGCCCCCGGGGGGCCCCCCTGGCTGCGGCTCCCCCATGGCTTCCTCTCGGGACGGCAGCAGCAGCAGCAGCAGCAGCAGCAGCAGCGGCGGCGGCTGCAGCAGCCGCAGGGAGTGGGCGGGGGCCCGCAACAGCAGCGCGGGGGCCCCCGGGGCCCCGCAGGGGGCCCCCTGGGGCCCCTGGGAAGACGGGGGGGGCCCCCGGAGCCCCGCTGCTGCTGCTGCTGCTGCTGCTGCTGCTGCTGTGGAGGTGGGCCAGTGCGTGCTGCTGCCAGATGTGCTGCTGCAGCCGCGGGCCCCCAGCAGCGCAGACACCTTTTATGTTGCTGCTGCTTCTCCCACGGGGGGCTTTTTGGTTTTAAACTTTATTGTAAAAGAACCCGAATATACAAATGAGTTTGGAGTATCTCTTTTGGCAATAAGGCATTTGCAGGGGGCCTTCGACAGATTTGCTGCCACAACGGCCCCCATTCCCGAGGGCCTGCTGCTGCAGCAGCAGCAGCAGCAGCAGCAGCAGCAGCAGCAGCCCCAGCTCTTCTCCCTCGACTCCCTCAACTCCATAGAGATCAGCGGCCTCCCCAGCACGCCCTTCGGGAGCCCCCGGGGGGCCCCCCAGGGGGGCCCCCCGGGGGGCCCCCAGGGAGGCCCCCAGGGGGGCGGGGCCCCCGGCAGCAGCAGCAGCAGCAGCAGCAGCAGCAACTGGGCCTTTGGGCTCACAGAAATGCTGCTGCTGGGGTGCCTGTCTCCCCTCTCTCCCTTCTTAACTCTTATAGCTCTTATTCCAAATCCCTGGGACTATCCTGGCTGCGACTTGCATGCAACAGTGGTGGAGTTGGCCCCCCAGGGGGGCCCCCCGAGGGGCCCCCCGGGGGCCCCCCTGGGGGCCCCCCCCGTGGGGGGCCCCCTGGGGGCCCCCCCGGGGGAGCAGGGCCCCGGGGGCCCCCTGATAACCTGGGTGGGCGGGGAGGACCTGGCTGGAGCGAGCCCGGGCTTTGCTGAGGAGGAGGGCAGCAGCGCAGCAGCAGCAGCAGCAGCAGCAGCAGCAGCAGCAGCAGCAGAAGAGGAAGAAGAGACGGAGGAGCTGCTGCTGCAGAAGCAAAAAGATTGCTGCAGAAGCTACAGGCGGCTGCTGTGCGTCTCTGAGCCCCGCGGCTGCGTGCTGGTGTACGAGTTGTCTTACTACCTGCCGCCGGAGGGCCGCAGCAGCAGCAGCAGCAGCAGCAGCAGGCCCGCGCAGCAGCAGCAGCAGCAGCAGCAGCAGCAGCACGTGCTGCAGTTCCGGCTGCGGCTGGTCTACCGCCTCGACGGCAACAGAGGCAGCAGCATCTTAACTGTTGTGCCTCCTGCTGTTGTTGCTGGCCGCAGAGTTTTGGCCTGCAGCAGCGGGCCTTATTTGCTGAATTTGTTTGAGTTTCGTCGGCTGCCGAATCCGGACTTGTTTGCTGCTCCTGCTGCTGCTGCTGCTGCTGCTGCTGCTGCTGCTGCAGCAGACGGGGGGGGCGCAGCAGACGGGGCGGACGCAGCAGACGGGCCCGCAGCAGCAGCCCTCACGCAGCAGCAGCAGGCTGCTGCTGCTGCGCAGCAGCACGCTGCAGCAGCCACCGCCTACGTCGAGTACCTCAAGGCTTCCTTCTCTGCTGCTGCTGCTGCTGCTGCTGCTGCAGCAAAGCTGCCGCCTGCAGCAGGAGCAACAGCAGCAGGAGCAGCAACAAACGGCAACCTCAACATACACCACAACAAGGACGCAGAGCTGCAGCATCTGCTGCAGCCCTCGCTGCGGGAAGCCACTGCAGCAGCAGCAGCAGCAGCAGCAGGGAATGGAGCAGCAGCAGATGCGCTGCAGCAGGACCAGGCTTTCCAAAGGCAGCTGGAGCTCGTCGCAGCAGACCTCAAGGCCTGCACCCTCGACAACCAGCAGCTGCTGCGCATGCAGCAGCAGCTGCAGCAGCAGCAGCAGCAGCAGCAGCAGCAGCAAAGATCCAGCATAGACAACCGGCCGCCGTGGAACGACCGCTTTGCTGTCAAAGGGTCGGAGAACGACCACATGTACCTTTAACTTGCTGCTGCTGCTGCTTTCACGGCGGCTGCTGCCGCTCCGAGCCGACGCATGCTGCTGCTGCTGCTGCTGCCTGCAGCAGCAGCAGCACAGGGAGGACCATGCTGCAGCAACGAGCTGCCGCTGCAGCGAAAACGGCTGCTGCTGCCTTTGCTGCTGCTGCACCTGCCCACCAGCAGCAACTGCTGCGGTTGCTGCTGCTGCTGTTGTCCTTGCGAAGTGCAGCAGCAGCAGCAGCAGCAGCTCCTGCAACAGCAGCAACTGCTGCTGCAGGGGCTCTTATGTGCTTCATACAATTACAAACTGCGTTTTGGCTTCGAGGCAGATATCTTATACCCCTAGACTGCTAGCCACAGCTAGCTACAGCTAGCCACAGCTAGCTAGGGCTAGCCACAGCTAGCTACAGCTAGCTACAGCTAGCTACAGCTAGCCACAGCTAGCTACAGCTAGCCACAGCTAGCCACAGCTAGCTACAGCTAGCCACAGCTAGCCACAGCTAGCCACAGCTAGCCACAGCTAGCCACGGTCAGAGAGAGTTAGCCAGAGGCAGTCACAGCTAGCCACAACTAGCCACAGCTAGCCACAGCTAGCAGCAGCTAGCCACAGCTAGCCGCGGTTACAGCTAGCAGCAGCTAGCCACAGCCAGCCACAGTTAGCCACAGCTAGCTAGCTGCAGCTAGCTGCGGCTAGCTGCAGCTAGCTGCAGCTAGCGCAGCCTAGAGAGCAGCTGTTTCGCTTGAAAAGAGAGGGTTTTGCGCTGCTATTAGGGTTTAGGGTTTAACTTTCAGGGTTAAAGAACCGGAGTCCAGGGTTTTGGGTGTCGTGCCCAGTTTTTACTGCTTAGGGTTTAGGGTTTAGGGTTTAGGGTTTAGGGTTTAGGGTTTAGGGTTTAGCCGGCCCTTAGAGCAACAGGAACACAGCAGTACTATAGGGGAGCGTATTTTGCTGCTCTTGTTCTTACGTTCCAAACTGGAAGGCAAAGACATAAAAAGTGTAAAGGATTTAGGGTTTAGGGTTTAGGGTTTAGGGTTTAGGATTTAGGGTTTAGGGCTTGGGGTGTAGTTGTGAGTGTTTAGGGTATAAAGCTCAGAGCTCATGGAGTTTCTTTCTTACACATTAGGGTTTAGGGTTTAGGTTCTTGTGCTTGAGATCTAGATTTTAGGGTTTAGGGTTTAGGGTTTAGGGTTTAGGGTTTAGGGTTTAGGGCTTACGGTATACGATTTGGTCGCTCAGGGCTTGAGGGGCCACCGGCGCTACCAGCGGACAAGACGTAGGCAAGGTGAGCGCCGCTGAACCCTAAACCCTAAACCCTAATCTGTAAACCCTAAACCCTAAACACTAAACCCTAAATTTCAACTACTTGATATTATTTGCAGGTATAATTCTCAGGATTGGCTGGGTTTATCCACAGGTGAGGTGGCGGTGTCAGTGCCGGGCCCTAAACCCTAAACCCTAAACCCTAAGCACTAAACCCCAAACCCTAAACTCTGAACCGTAAACTCCAAACCCTAAACCCTAAACCCTAAACCCCGGAGGTTTAGTGATGGAATTGAATCTTTCCGCATTTCCCGAGCAGCCCAGTTTCAGTCCAGCCACCCCAAACAGCACACGTAGCCCCAAACCGCAAACCCTAAAACCCTGATTCCTAAACCCTAAACCCTAAACCCTAAACCCTAAACCCTAAGCTGTGAAGGCCAAGCCCTGAAAGTCCTTCAAAGTCAAACCCTAGAGAGTGCTGCGTTTTAGGCTCGTCTTGAAATCTTGGCTCTATTTTTGCTCCGAGGGGTCTAAACCCTAAACCCTCAAACGCAAACCCTAAACCCTAGGGCCTGAAGAGCTGACTCAAAACCCTCGGCCCCGCGCTGAGAGCCACAGGGCCTTCCCACCAGGTAAGAACGAGCCCCGTAGCCGCGTGTGCTCCGAGGGTTTAGGGTTTAGGGTTTAGGGTTTAGGGTTTAGGGTTTGGCGGTGGGCTGTCTCAGAATGTCTCGCTGGAAGAAGTTCAACGATGATGATGTGCCGGACGACTTCGTGTTGCCTGCCGGTGAGCTATAGGGTTTAGGGTTTAGGGTTTAGGGTTTAGGGTTTACGGCCTAGGGTTTTCACAAGGAAGCCTTCCCGCGGCCTCCTGCTGTTCAAAAAGTGTGTCTTCAGCCTTCAATCTTGAGGTTTAAGGGTTTAGGGTTTAGGGTTTAGGGTTTAGGGTTTAGGGTTTAGGGTTTTGCAGGCGACCCTGTTCGCGGCCGTTTGTTATTTAAGAAGCATGGCTTCACTGCGCAGACTGCAGCGTCCACCCCTTCAGCCTTCAGCCTCTAGGGTTTAGGGTT